ATTTTGGAAAGTCACACACAAAAGTTTTGTAACAGCGCTTTCTAGGAGAAAAGATTGAGCAACTGTGAACCCCGTTCTCCCAACAACATATACTGTACATCCTAACATGTCTAATAAAAACATTGTAAATATGAAGACTCAGAGCAGACTGGATAAAGAAATATTACAAGTAGAAATGTTCTTAGATAGTTTGTCTYACAGCAGACTACTGACGAGTTAAATGTCTGACTCTTCATCTCATGCAGTTACATTTTGGGCTTAAGAGTGAGATTTGGTGACATTCACAAACAAGTTGCTACAACTCTCCTGAACAATCAGTTAAGTTGAGGTTGAAATGCAAATAATTTGCACATATAGATAAATACAAACTATTATCTACAGATGCGAGAAAAAGAGTTGGGGAGGAACAAACCTGGTTTTACTCAAAGATGACCACACTAAGAGAAAGTCCCACAGTAAACCAGACAAATAGGTTTGGCCAAAATTACCAGTTTGAAGTATAAATACATAAGCATTAAATTCTAACCCYGCAGCACAGCAATGGGAGAATTATGTTTTGTTGTTGCAAATACAAGAACGCCAGATTGGAAAGATGACTATTTCATTGGAAAATTTAACCAAGGTTTAGAACAACTGGTTGGACCTGGCTTTATAGACCAGTATGCACTTTGTCTACGACTCCTCCAAAATATGCCTTCTTATCGAAGACCCAGCCAAATATCAGATGTTGTGTGGGATTTTAACCCCACAATGTTCCCGAAACCAACACAAAAAGTATATGTTGTACTTTTTAAATCACAGTTTGCCATAAAACATTTTAGTGCATCTAATATTGCATGAATRAATGATTGTTTGTAATAAAATGCAAACTAATAAATAATATAGTATTACAACTCTTTATCCATTAAAGCTGCTGCTCTGTGTTAGAAGGGATTCATAAATTGAGTTGACCTTTTAACCTCACAGGAGGTCAGTTTGGACCCCCCCCCCCCCCCCCACTGGGTGACGTCACCCCACCCCCACCCCTCCTGCTCCTGGTGGTGGGACTCCACTCCATAATTTACTCAGGACTTCAACCCTTTAAAGGATTCTACCTTTTTTTTTGCTCCTCACCATCGACCGGCCAGCAGCAGAGTTATGTCACAGGCTCAAACTTTGGGCCTGACTTACTTTCTTTTACTTTACTCAAGTCATAAAATACAAACAAACCTTTAGCATTTTTGTTTCATTCTTTTTTGGCTACAAAGTCACATCGTCACCGTGCAAGTGGCTCCGCGAGGAGTAATGTGAAGACATTTAATGGTAGGTCCTGTTTTACTGACTAATAACAGAACGCGTTAATTAACTGAAAGCATGGTTTTTACTTTATGTTACTGAATGTGCGTGACGTGAATTTCATTAAYGTGAAAAGTCGTATTAAAGTTAAGTTTCTCGACGTGCACGTGTGTGTGACAGCGTGACCTGACCTCAGCAGCAGGGACTTGTGTTAATGTGGGCTGTTGTGTCGGTGAAAGTGCTGCTTTTCTCACCTGAACTCACTGGGGGCGCGTGCCCTACATTAACTCGCGGCACTGTTTTGTGTATTCCTCCGCAGATAACAGGTAGTGTCCCACTGCGAGTCGCGGGGTTTATCTGATTGTTTAGTGCGAGCCGCCCTGCCCCCCCTCCCTGCAGGGGTCCGCCTGTCAGAGAGCACGTGGACGTACAGTAACAACAACAGTAGAGAGGAGCTGAAAGCCTTTGAAGGCGGTCGCTTGGCGCGAGCCGTTCTAATTCGGCGAGGTGTCGATAGGCACGCTGGTGAGACCACGTGCTGTTAGATTTACAGCTTGTTAAACACCCCAACCGTTGAGTCAGCCATTATCTGGCCTTAAAACTGGTAATATGATGGCTGAGATAACATCTCATTAGCTATAAACTAATACACGGTAATAAATGTGCTGTGTTGGTTATCCTGAGCTGGAAGGTTGTACCTAACTGTAATGCTTAGATAAACTTGCAGCGACTGTTGCTGATTAGGGCTGTGTACTTGCAAGAATTTGGCAATACGATACATATCATGACAGAGGGGTCACGATACGATATATCCCGATATATTGCGATTTCTTTTTGTCCAAAAATTCTATTCAATAAAAACCTCTTACTGGGGAAAAAAATGAAAAACCCCCTCAAGAGGTAGAGGAGCCAAATGGCTGGCTCACTGCTGCCAACTAGTGGTCAGAGGCTGAACTACAACATAAAAA